TCCTTCCTTCTCTTCGTTATTTCCAGCTTTTCCCCAACCGGTAAGATTTTTGGGAGACGCACTGTGTGAAAGCTAGAGAAATCTAGCTGCTCAGGAAAAAAAAAACATATTAGCTTGAAGGTCTAGATTTCAAAGGGCAGGGAAGGTTTCATCTTCTGGTCCAGTATCTGTGCCCTCAAAACACAAAGGTATTGCTATGTAGACGTTATAACCAGAAGCTCCTCTCAAAATCACGGCAGCGACCAGCCACAGGGAGCCGCAGCAGAGGGATAAAAGAGCCACATGCGGCTCCAGAGCCACACAGGTTGCTGACCCCTGAACTAGACTAGAGGATCTCTCGGTAGATGATCTCATCGATAGACATCAGGAGGTCTCCCTTGTGGATGCAGGCGAGGATAGATCTTGAAGCGCCTGTCCGCTATAGGCCTGTTGAGCCTCTTTAAGTCCAGAATGGCTCTCCACCCTCCTGAGCCCTTGGGAACCAGGAACAGGATGGAGTAGAACCCAGATCCCTCATGGCTCTGTGGCTCTGATGTCCCTCAAGTGATGAGTCTCTGCCTCCACAAGCCCTTTCTTGGGGGAATATTTTCGGAGCGGGACACCGGATAAAGTGAATCCCAGTTCTAGGATTCTCTGACGGGTTGTCTTCCCGTTCAACCGGCGCACAGGAAACCAAGGAAGCCCCCTAACCTCCTCTCTCTTCGACAGACCACAAGGCCGTAGAAAACAGGAAGCAGAAGTACAGAGCGCTTTTTCCAAACCAGACCCTGAAGCCGTGGAAAACATACAAGCAAAGCGGTAGGAATTCAGCGCATCCATCCCACCCTCCTTTCCCATCCCATTCCAATAGAGGAGAAGGCTCCCCGCATTTCTGCAGTCTGACACCAATGTGGCTTTAGGGAGGGAAAGAGCTGCTTGAATTTCTCCCCCCCCCCCATTTTTATTTTTCCCTTTCAAATTCATTCACAAATGCACATTCTTATCATTGCTATTTAAACCTTTGTATAGTCATCATTCCTCTCTATAATTATTTTCACAAATACATAGAATACATTTTGGGTCACTTTCTTGCCACCCTGTGCCTCCATCTTATTTTGCAACAATACTTGCTCCTTCTGTCTTCTCAACCTCTCTTCTCTGCCTTCTTCTTTCCTCCTCTCCTTCCTCCCTTCTTCTTCCTCTCTCTTTCCCCCACTCCTCTCTTCTCCTCCTTCTTGACCTCTCTCCTACTCTTAATTCCCCTCCCGTACTTCCTCTGTTTTTACTCTTTCTTCCTTTCCCTCCCCATCCTTCCTCCTTTCTTCTTCCCCTCTCTTTCCCCACTCCTCCCCTTTTCTCCTCCTTCTTACCCTCTCTCCTACTCTTACTGCCCCTCCCTTACTTCCTCTGCTTCACCCTTTCTTCCTTTCCCTCCTCATCCTTCCTCCTTTCTTCTTCCCCTCTCTTTCCCCACTCCTCCTCTCTTCTCCTCCTTCTTACCCTCTCTCCTACTCTTACTGCCCCTCCCTTACTTCCTCTGCTTCACCCTTTCTTCCTTTCCCTCCTCATCCTTCCTCCTTTCTTCTTCCTCTCTCTTTTCCCACTCCTCCTCTCTCCTCCTCCGAGGTCGGTAAAACGGGGACCTAGATTGTTGGGGGCAATGGGACTGACTCTGAAAACCACTTAGAGGGGGCCGTAAAGAACTAAGAAGCGATATATAAGTCTAAGGGTGATTGCTATTTCTCCAAAAAAAGCCAGCTTTCCCCAACCATCCCCTCTTAAACCCACCCACCCCACTTCCCATGGCCTAGCTGGGCCCAAGAGAATTTACACCCCCCTCCTCCTTATTCCAGGAGTTCCCAGAGTCGCCGAAGGGAGGATCACCTATGCATTCAGATCAAAGAAGCCCAGAACCATCCTGAATGCAGCGCTCCGAATGAGTCACCTGGAAGAGAGAAGAAATGAAGAAGGCCCACGATCAGGGCCATTCTTTTACATCGGCGGAGCAAATGGGGTC